CAGATACATGCAGTCCCTACACTACTGTTGTAACATGGCCACAGAAGCACAGGATTTCACCACGCTGGATGTCCTCTGAACTTTCACCCCTGCCTCACCAGCCTGGGCTGGAAGAGGGACAGGCAGACAGTTCCCTTGGGCTTTCAATACAGGGGAAGGGGCTCTGGGAAAGTGGGTGGTGGGATGCCTGAGCTTAGCGTGAGGAGCCTGAAAAGAAAGATGGAAAAATCAATGAAATGAGTTTCTAACGGTGAGGTAAAGGACTGCCGTGTCGACAGCCTGTCGCCTGCTGCAAAATATGAGCTGCCAAAGTCTGTGGCAGAGGCTGACAGTGTATACAGCCACTACTGTCCTTCCTTCAGGCCCTCACTCACCACCGCTTTCCCACATACGGCCTTTCTTATTATAGCCAGACTCTCTGAGGGTCTCGGCTCACTTTCACCTGTCTTCCCTTGATTTCTCAACTCTTTCAGGGTCTTTTGCAGAACAGGATAGGCCAGGCGTGGGAAGCCTACAGCACTGGTTCCACAGAAGGCTGTAACACTGAAAGCTCCACAAGGTTCAGCATCACAATACAATCCCTGACTTGATTTGGTACACCTTTTTCCGCTATGGCTTTTGTGTATTTAGATCCCTCTGTTTCTGCAGGTACCACCTTGAGAGTTGTGGTGAGCTCTGTATCTCATCTCTCCCTCTTCTTGGTGCTTCTAGATTCTTTCAACAATGGGCAGTCAGAGTTGGGTGTGGTGGCACATGCCTGAAGCCTGTAATCCTAGCCAGCACTCTTGGAGGCTGAGGCATTTGAACAGGATCAGGTTCAGATCCAACCTGGGCAGTCTGGTGACAGACTATCTGTGAGTGTGTGCATGGGCGTGTGTGTATGTGTGTGAGCGTGCATGGCAGATTCATTTATAGTTGCATGATTAGGAATGGGGTAAGGATACTACTTTCAATTCAAATTATCTACTCTCCTTGGAAACCTTTTCTGGAAACCGCCTCTCTTCTCTGTCCTCCTCCACATCTTCCTCTGGGGCTCCTAGGACTGTTCATTCATGTTTTCTTCCCGATCTATTTCCTGATAAGCCCCTAGAGTCAGCCCTGGCCTCAAGTGCACCCCTAACTCTCTGTCTCAGGCTTTATTGTTATGTCAGGTTAACTTCCTTCCAGCTCTTCTCTCCAGTTTCTGTTGGCATTTGCTTAGTAGATATTAAGTCTGTTTTGTGTGGCAGGCACTGTGTTAGTGCTACTAGAAACTAGCTGGAGGGGCTGGGAATTTAGCTCAGCGGCATAAGTACCTGCCTTGCAAGCAGGCGGTCGTGAGTTCAATCCCCGGTACCAATAAAAATGAAAAAGACAAAAAAAAAAAAAAAAGAAACTAGCTGGATACGGGTGTGCATGCCTGTAAACCTAGCACTTTTGGAGGCTGAGGCAGGAGGATCTCAGATTTGAACCCAGTCTTGGTAACTTAGTGCAATCCTAATGAATAAAAAAATACATTTAAAAAAAAAAAGGATGGGGATATAGTTCAATGTGAAGGCCTTGGGTAAAAAGAAACTAGACAGATGCAGCCCCTGCTCAGGTGACCAATGTGACTCACACCAGTAGGCTTAGTCTCTCAGACCAAAGGAATTTTTTTCCTTTCCTCCATAGCCAAATTCCACTGTACCCTCTGGCATTTCAGAACCCTCCCTTCCTCTGTGCAAGCATCAATTTACATTCCACCACAGCTCTGATACTTTTTCTTCTGCACTTCTAGCTTTAGCCTCCATTCCTAAACCCAAACCCAGGGTTCTTCTAACATTTCGACAAGTCTCCTCCCTGTCACAAAGCCTTTCTTGTCCATTCTGCAACTGCCACTTCCAGTTTTCTTCCATCTTTGCCTGCCTTTCGGCCCTACCATCTGACTTCAACACCTCCTTCTCCCTAGGTGTCTTCCTCTTACTCCTGTCAGGCTCTAGCAAACCTCAAGCACAAACAAGAGGGGCTTTTGATAATTGTTGTTTTCAGCTAGAACAGCTCCAGGGAAGGAAGGTCAAGCTAAGAGGGTAGGAACTGTACAGATCCAACTAGGACCAGGCCTCAGCCCATGTATGATGATACAGCTTCCCAGCAAAGCAGCAAGTTGTTCCTGTATAGGTCTCAAGGTAACACCAGCTGCCTCTGACATCACAGAGGGAGGAACCCTGTCAGGTTGCCAAGGCAACACCAGCAATTTATGACATCAGAGGCTTGAGGTCTTTGGTTGTCAGGGGGCCAGGAAGATTCAAGTTCCTGTCATTACAAGTAAATGGGAATTCTACTTTTTCATCTCATTGCTTGTGTTCTCCTGGCCTGGAAATGAAGTGCAAAGGCCTTTGGAAGGAGACTGAGTGATGAAGCTACTGGAACGAGAGGTTTTCTATCCTCTCCCTTCACTGGCTATCCCTGTACTTGCTTTCCCTCTCACGGACAGCTCTTTCTGGAGGCCTAGTGGTATTTCTGCTTTGCCGTTTCCCCCCCAAATCATCTACCCTCCTGCAGTGCTTTCTGCATCCGTCAGTCTTCCTCCTTCTCCACAGTCCTCCTCACCCAAGAGGCATTTGTTTCCTTTGATATCTCATCCTCTCCTCTTTGCCTCCTACCAGGCTCCGCGAGGCTCTGATCTGCTTCAGCACTCTCGCCTTTGCTATCCACTTACCTTCTTTGTACCACACTCTTCTCCTACCTCATTCGTCAAGTCCTCCCTTCCCCCATTTTACCACATTGTATTCACTTGATATTGCTTTTTTGTTGACTGCTCTTTAGGAATATTCTATCATTTCTCTTCTTTCCTTCTGCATAGCTATTAACTTGTATCCATTTCATTCTCCCAATTTTTCATTAATCACCCCTCCACTCATCCCCTTCCCCCCATTCTGCATAGATTTTCTTCCTTTGCTCGTCTCTCATGTTGTACATTTCTCTACCCTATGTGTTGATTGTACTCATCCTCCCCTTCCCTTCTGTAATTCTGGTCACCTCTGAAATCCTCTATCATGTGCACATATCCACCTTCTTTTACCCTTGGAAGCTCTGAGGTCTAGAAAAAATGATGGGCTCAAAACCAAGATAAACTCGCCAGATCCTTTATCTACCTTTACCACATTTCTTTAGGCTGAATGAGCATGGCCCCTTGAAGAAGACAGCTACTCTCACAATAATAAAAAGTGCCTCACAAAGAATGGTGCTGAATCCAAATATGATAACAGTGGGGGCCTAAGAGGAAGATGAACTAAAAAGTAAAGAAAACAGCCACTGATATTTAGAACGAACTGAAAATGGGGGCATCTGGGCAGGGTGGAGCTTAGAGTCCTAGAGAATGTCCCCTTACAAAATCAAAGTTGACAGTTAACTGACATAATGGCACTGATTGATGAAGGGGTTATATGCCCCTAGAAGCCCATTAAATTGATTTCTTGGCCTGTTTATGTGCCTTCACAAACCATATCCCCACCCCTCCCAGCGGCCTGTCCGTGGTATCTCCTACGCTAGGGTTAAAACGCTGGGCAACAGTGTGAGGGATAAGAGGAACTTAGGGTGACCAAGGAGAAGAGGTAGGGAGAAGGCAGATTATGGGAACAAAGGTGGTGAATAAGCAAGGATTACTCTGCAGGATACCAGAATAGAGGAAAAAAAGAAGTAAAACAGGAAAATGAAAAAAAAAATGGTAAAGTGAGGAGAGAGGGAAAAGAATTAAGTCAGCACACAAGAGGTTGGTGGAAAGCGGGCACATGACACAGACCACAAGGTGAGATCTTGATGGGAGACAGACACATGGCAAAAGGAGACAGTCAACACGCTAAGGAAGTTCCAAATCCTCCCTAGTGAATGGGAAGAGGAGGCTGTTCTGGCCGAAAAGACACTGGATTCTTGGCGGGGGTGAGGGGTGGGGGGGGGAGCGGGGGGCACATCTGCTTCATCCCCGACTCTTCAGGCCCCTGACTAGTGGCTACCACAATCATAATCATGGCTGATAAGCAAACTCCTAAGTAGCACGGAAAAGACCAGCGATATCTGGACCTACCCTGAAGGAGAGGGCATGGAGTCCTAGCTGGCCAAACAGGCAGCCAAGGCGTGACACATAGTGACAGGGACACACAGGGAGAAGATCACTCGGATGGGAAGGTTCACAGCAGAGACAGTGACACACAGAGCTGGAGATGGATGGGGTAAGGAGACGATGTGAAGATCGGCAACATCGACCAGGGACATATGACAGGGATCAGCTGGGCTACAGGCACAGCGAAAAGCGTGGTACAGTGCTCAAAAATGATGGGACTACTTATAGAGAGGGGCAGCTGAGCCACGGAGAGTGTGTGTGGGGGACAGCAGCACAAATACGCTTCACCTTGAATGGGGCTTCCTGTTACCTATTCATACCTTTTCAAAAAAAAAAAAAAAAAAAAAAAAAAAAAAAAAAAAAGCAGCTCAACTTCAGGTGGAAGGAGGAAGGAGGGTATCCATGTCCCCTCCGCCCCGCACCCCAGCGCACTAGCCCATCCATCAGTCCTACGGCCGCCGTTCCTCCCCCATCCCGCAGCCGACGGGGGGCCGCCGCGACTCGGGCCGCTCCGAGCTGACAGCTCGGAGCCCTCGCACTCACCCGGCCTCCCCTTCCCTCCGGGAACCCCGCGCCCCGCGCGGCTCGGCGCGATCCGTCCAAGCTCTCGCTACCTCCCGTCCGTCCGTCTGCCGGCCCGCCTTCCCGTCCCCGTCACCCTCTGTCCCAATCCCCGCCCGCATGCTTCTCCCCCATACCCCTGCCCCCCTCCCCAGGCTCTCGGTCTGTCGGTCCGTCTGTGTCCCCTCCCCCAGCCTCTTCCCGTCCCTCTCGTCCCCTCCAGCAGCAGTATCCGAGCGCCTCCTCTCCCCTCGATCTCCAGCTTCCAAAGAGCAAGGAAGGGAAGAACAGTGAGAGGGAGAGGAGGAAAAAAAAAGAGGAAAAAAAAAACCCCAGCAGCATCGGAAATCGATGCACTTACACCTCAGCTGGAAGCAGGGACGGGAGTCGAACCGCGGCCGCCGAGCAGCGCGAGGCGGGGAGGGGAGGGGGCGGCTCTTGGAAGGGACTTCTCCGATGTGTTGATTCCTTTCCCCCCTCCTCCTCCCTCCCTCCAGCACTCGCTCCGGGGCGTCGGGGACGGAGATGGAAAAAATAAATAAATAAATTCACAGCGGTGAGGGAAGTGAAGGAAAATAATCAATGCTATTTGGCTGCGGCTGAAGTGTTTTCCCAGCTTCGTGAGGGGGTTTCCATTGATTCACCCTGGGCACTAGCTCGCTCCCTGCCTCCTCCTCCTCCTCCTCCTCCTCCTCCTTCTTGTTCTCCTCCTCCTCCTCCTCCTCGCCCTCACTCCTCCGCCTCATTCACTGGCTGGAGCCGAAGCGTCCCACACAATGGAATAATCAATACCCAGGCGCCGGGGCGGCCCCACTGAGCAGGTGCAGCGGCTCGTCCGTCGCGATGCATGCCGGGAGTTGTAGTTTGCCCGCCTCCACCCTTTGGCCCGCAAGCGCTGCGCCCGCCCGCACCCTTCAACGCTAAAACACCGCGACGACCTGTGCTCCCGCTGCTTGCTGGCCAGGCCAACCTTCCGCCTCCTTAGACCTTGGTGCAACCCCACCCGGTGCTTGAAAAGAAGGCAGATTCCTTTTACCTCTTCGTGTTCTCTCCTCCTCTTCCTCCCGTTTATAGAAACCATACGCTTTTTGTTGTTTTAAATCAGCTGTACAAGCTTTGGCTTCTGCCAGCTTGCCAGAGCTGCCGGGGGTCTGTTTTTTCCCTCTCCCCCACTCCCTTCTTATTTATTGAATTCATCTCCCTTCCGACTAGGGTACTGGAACCTGCTCTTGCACAGCAATCTTGGAGAGCTTCTGTCTCTTCCACGCAGTCACATAGTTCCCTGAGCTCTGTAGGAGGTTCTGGCTCCTGCTTTTCAGTTTATCAGCTCAGAAACACTGTATATTTCAATAATAACTTTTAAGATTTATTGAGTGTTCACAGATAGTTCCAAGCACTTTAACATACACTATGTAATCCTCATGAGACAGATACTATTAGTCCCACTTTACAGCTGAGGAAACCAAGGTACAAATAACCAGCCCAAGGTCACCCGGCCAATAAGTGACAATGCCAGGATCCAAATCTCAGTGGTCTGGCTTCTGAGTCCAAAGTACCTGCCTGCTAAGGCCTACTGCTCTAATAGCCTCCCCACCAAATTCACAGAGGAAGCTGGGAGAGAGGAGAAACTAACATTTTGAGTTTCTACTACATGACAGTTTGTTACCTGTGAGAGTCCTCATTTTACCAAGGACAAAGCAGTCTTAGGGAGGTGGCACAGTTATCCAAGGCCAAGCATTTGGGAAGCAGAGCTTTCCAGGTGTGTCTGTCTCTGGAGTCTAGTCTGGACGGGACCTTACACAAAAGGAAAACATGAGACATTTTTCTTGGTCCAAAACCTGAAAAGCAAAGGATGCATGAAATGCAGGCTATGAGAAGGGTTAGGGACTGAGGTCTGTTCCCTGCCTGCTGGGTAGTGCTTGGCATGGGGTGAGGGGACAGATACATCTAAGACAATCAAAGTTCAAGATGTCATGTCTTGAAGTGACCTCCTACAGTACTTCCCAAGTGTTTCCAATTACACAATAAGGAGAGGGCAGGTGTGGAAAACCTGGCACTTCTCACCTATCATAGGAGCAAGCTTAGGAGTTGACAGTATTGTCACCCAGAGGGTCAAAGGTAAAGTCTACACATAATCCTACTACTCTGAGACAAGAAGACACTTTCTCTGTTTGGTCTCTCAAGGTAGTCAAGAGGGTCATCCCTGTGTCTTACTCTCCTGACAAAATTTACTCAGGGAGTGCTGGACACTGACAAACTCTTGGTCTGGCACTCATTCAAGATCTTTTCCCACCTGCCCCTCAGCTGCGTGTCTAAACTGATCTCTACTTACAAACTGGCCAGGTGCTTTTGTTTCTGGGTCTTTGCTCACACTATTCCTGTCTCCAACTGTTGAAATCCTACATGTTTGTTTCTCATTCAAAGTACCCTTTCCTCCTATGACAGAAAGTTTGTTACACCAAAATATCCATATCAGGATTATTAAATCTGCCTTAAAACTCCAGAGTAGCTAAAGCAGACTTAATCTCCACCACCATATAGCACTTAGGGGGCCACCATAATATGTACCAGTCATGGTCTCTAGTGAATGACTTGTGCCAGAGGATGGATACTAGGGCTTCATTCAGCTCCTTGCATCCAGCTTGCCCCACAGTGCTGCAACCCCAGTTCAGCTCTCGGTAGAGTCCCGCTGGCACTAATTGCAGCTTTCCGGTCACTATAGCGACGGGTGGGGCGAGCCGGCGAGTCTCCTTTAGAACTACATCTCCCATCATGCATCGGACCCTAGGGTGCTGGGCTCAGCCTGAACCCGAAGACCCGACTGACCTCGCGCTCCAGGAGGGATAGGGGATGAGAAGCGGAACATGACGGTACTGTCTTACTTCCTTGCCCACCTCGAGGGTCGCGGCCGCCCATAACCTAACAGGACTCTCTGGCCCCAGCCGGCCCTCGGCACCGCTACTGTGAGCCTAATATGGCCGCTAGTGCAGGGACCGGCCTCTCGCATTCAGCCGGGCTGAGGTCCGGGGCCAGGGCCTGCTCCCGGCATTCCTCGCGAGTGTGGTGTGGGTTCCCTTCCCCCATCTCCGGGTCCCGCGAGAGGGAGACTCTGGGGCTTTGAGGTGAGACCGGGACTCCAGGGGCAGGTGCTCTGGTGAAGAGGGTGGGTGACTACGAGCAGTGAGCTACTACTGGCTTCCTTGGGAAGCAAGATGAATCGAGGGGGCGTTGAAAAGACATCTGATGTAAGGCCTGCTTTCTAGAGAGCGCTTTGGGTTGAGAACATCACAGATTAACTGGAGACCTGTCAGTGTTGCAGAATCAAATATTGACCAAGGGGCTCTGGGTTATTTTTGTAACGAATTTATTTGTAGCAATTTTCTAGAGGACCCATTTTGCATACAGTTTTATCATGGAAGGCCTGTATCACTGAGTCAGAGTCCTTTGCAGCACATAAGCCCATCCAGGCCTGGATCACTGCTGACCTGTAGCCCCACAGGCTGGACACTCTTGGGCACTCAATGACTGTATTGCCCTATCTATTTATGTCCTGCTTTTCTTTCTTTCTTTCTTTTTTTTTTTTGTCTTTATCCTTTTTATCTGTACCGAGCATCTAACTCACGACTGCCTGCTTGCAAGGCAGGCGCTTATGCCGCTGAGCTAAATCCCCAGCCCCTGGCACTCAATGAATGTTTGTTGAAATTGTTTGTTGCAGGTAGCATGGCCCAGGGCATGATAGAGGTGGAGCGAAAATTTGTTCCAGGGCCTGGCACAGAGGAACGGCTGCAGGAGTTGGGAGGCTCTCTGGAGCACCAGATCACCTTCAGAGACATCTATTATGACACCCCCGAGCTGACCCTCATGCAGTCTGACCACTGGCTGCGACAACGAGAGGGTAGTGGATGGGAATTAAAATGTCCTGGAGCAGTGGGTGTCTCAGGAGCCCACACTAAGTATGTGGAACTCACATCTGATCCTGCAATTGTGGCCCGCCTGTGTCAGGTGCTAGAAGCTGAGGAGCTGGGGAGTGGAGGTGTAGCTGCTGTGCTGAGTCCACTGGGGCTGCAGGAAGTAGCTAGTTTTGTGACTAAGCGGAGTTCCTGGAAGCTGATGTTCTCTGGAGCTGATGAAGATGAAGAGCCCCTGCTCAAGGTGGACCTGGATACAGCCGACTTTGGTTACACAGTGGGTGAGGTAGAGGCCCTGGTGCGTGAGGAAGCTGAGGTACCATCTGCCCTAGAGAAGATCCAGAGCCTCAGCAAAATGCTTGGTGAGGGAGACAGGCTTTCTGTGCTTTCCCTGCTCCACTTCTGCCTTTTCCGGAGGTATCTACTGGGGCAAAGAATGACTGAGTATTTCTGGGTTATTTCTGTAACGAGAATTGTTTTAGTAATTTTTTAGAGGATGCCATTTGCTTGTATAGTTTTTTTGTTGTTGTCTTTTTTGAGACAGGGTCTCTATGCAGTTCAGGCTGGCCTTGAGCTCACTTTGTAGCCGGTCTTGAACTCGCAATGATCCTCCTGCCTCAGCCTCCCTAGTGCTGGGATTACAGGCATGAGCCACGACGCCCGGCTCTCTCTCTCTCTCTCTCTTTTTTAAAGACAAGGTCTTACTATGTGGCCTTAAACTCATAATGTAGCCCAGGCTGGCCTCGAACACATGGTGATCTGTTTCCTGAGTGTGAGTGCTGGGATTACAGCTGTTTACTACCAGACCCAGTTTGTTTACACAGTTTTATCAAATCCAGTTTCCCATTTTACTGTAGTTAATTTGGATTCACTCCTTCAGTGCATTTCTGATTTTCCCAGTCATTGTGTCTCACTTAACCTCTGGCCAACTCTCCAGTTCCATTTGTCAGCTCTTTGCTTCGACTTTTCCTTCCTCAAACTTCTGCTGTCCTTTTGTTTTTACTATTTCCTAGATCCTCATGTATCCTTCTGCCTTTAAGGGCGAGAACGTTGCATTTATGAGGCAGTAGGGTAATCGTTGGCAAATTTTTTTGTTCCCATTTTTAGTTTCCTTAAGGATAGTTCATCTGGGGCTGGGGATTTAGCTCAGCAGCATAAGCACCTGCCTTGCAAGCAGGCAGTCGTGAGTTCGATCGCCGGTATCGATAAAAAAAAAAAAAGTTAAAAAAAAAAAAAGGCTAGTTCATGCACACACCTGTGGGATTGTGCACCGCACAGGGCTGACATCCCTGGGATGCTGTTTGAGTTTCCTCAGCAGTCATACACTCGGTTTCCTGCTACATGCTCAGCATGTGCTGGGCACCCACAATAATGGCAGTTCCAGAAGTAGTAATTGTGTGTAAATCCTGCCTTACAGCTATAGCTCTTTTTTCTTTCTTTCTTGGTTTCTTTCTGTGTACATCTTTGTATGTGCTTCATTACCAAGCTAATGAGCTTTGGGCTGCCTCGAAGGGCTTCAATCTTGATTGGGGGACAGGGACAGTAACTGAAATGAGTCTGTGTTGAGGCATTCTCTGTCTTCGTGGTGTCTGGGCACCTCTTAGTTTTTTCTTCCTAGATGATGGGCTCATGTGTGGCTTCCCAGCCACTCCTGCCTGAAGTGGCTCTTTTAGGTCTCATTTCCACTTTAGGTCCATTGAAGGGGTGGTGAGAAGCTGGTGGATGGCATTCAGAATCTCAGTGCTGCCTTGTAGACAACTTTAGGGTCCTGGCTGGCTGGGCTGGGGGCAAAGTTCAAATGTGTGTGGTTGCTCATTGTCATCTTGCCTATAGGTGTGCCAGCACATGAGAAGGCACCTGCCAAGCTCATCGTGTACCTGCAGCGCTTCCGGCCTCAGGACTACCAACGCCTGCTACAAGCACATACCACTGGAGAGAAGCCACAGGGGACTGAACATCCTGACAACCACTTGGGTTAGGGGGTGTCCCTTCTCAAAGGGCAAAAGAACTCTGGGTTCAGTGGGGTCCACACTTGCACTCATGGTGCCTCTTTCCTTCGAACAGTGCCCCCCCTCTCTCCAGCTCTGCCTGTTCTTTCACCCTGTCCTTAGTTACCCTTCCGAGAGCCCTCCCTGGTTGCCTTCTCTCCCTCATCAGTCAGATGCAATCTGTGGGCCGCCCCTCTCCCCTGGCCGCTAAGCAGCCTCCATTGATTTCCGCTCGTGTTTATAGGATTTCCACTTAGCCGTGATCAGTAGTTAAGCACAGGAAAATCCCTTGCCACCCCCCCTCCCTTGGTCGATGCCATTGATTCTGCCAGCGGCTCTGAAACTGCCTTACAGCTGAGTTAGAGATGAGGGGAGGCAGCAGGGATTTCCCTGCCTTGGGTTGTGGGGAATAGCAGCAGGGAGGTTGGGTTGGGTATTCTTGTTAGAAATTCTGCTTTAATTTTTGTCACAATGCCCACCTCTGGCCCAGAGGGCAGAGTGCCTCTTGTGGCAGTTCTGAGATACATGTGTTCCCAGACCTGGAAAGAGATAGAGTTCCAGGACAGATTCACACTTCCTATGTGAGAAAGTTCTTTCCTTGCTGTTATTTATATATATTTTCTACCTCAGACATATCCAAATACGGTTTTCCACCTCCTTCAGGTTTTATTGCGCTTTTCGTACTTGTGGGGGAAGGGGTTGGCCCTCAGTTTTGCAGTGACAAATGCAGCGCCAGAGTGCCACCTAGTGGTGGCCCTCAGCGGTGGGTTCACAGCTGCTGGGACCAGGGTCTTTGCGGAGTGAGTAGCGATAATTATTGCCATGTCTCCACAGGCAAGTTGTGCACCTCAAAGATCTCCTGCACCGACTGGCCAAAGTGGTTGTAGGTGACGCGTAGCTTTAGCCGCAAAGGGGCCTAGGAACAGGAGCACAGACCAGGGTTAGTGCCCATGACGTCTTCCACGTCTAAGTCTTAGCCATGAGGCCCTGGAACTCACTTTGTTAGGATTGAGGACTCTGAAGAGCTGAGTGATGGGCAGGCCACTCCGAGCTGGAGCTGTGTTTCCACTAGGGGCCTGGAGCTGCAGCTGAAAATTCTGAACATGGGAGGTTTGGGAGACCACGGAAAGGCAGCTGGCTTGGCTCAGGAAGCCCCTTCATACAGAGTGGCTCCAAGCCCTCTTCCCCTACATCGTGCTCTGTGTGTTGTTCCCTTCCATCACATTCTGTCTCCCACCCACCTCCTCTGCTTTGGGGCTGCTTCTGGATGCTAGGCCATCTCTGTACCCTGATCTGTGCAAACCTTGGGCACCGCTGCCTGGCAGACGAAGTGGGTGACATCATCCTCTGAGGAGTTGGTAGTGGTGACAGTGATTAAGAGCAAAGGAGGGGTTCCAGGGGGTCGAGTAAAAGACAGATTCAGTCGTACACCCTCGCGTTCAAACACTTTGAGATTCGGGATGGGAGCTGGAATAGAAAGAGAGGCACTCGGTGTACAGGCTTGAGAGAACATGTTCATTCCCTCACTAAGTGACGACAGAGTGAGCACCTCTCACCCCTCACTCCTGAGACACTTGTGACAAAGTTGACAAGCAGATAGGTTGAGGTTGAAGGGACACAAATTCATGGCCAGCTTGGGCAACTTAGTGAGACCCTAGCTCAAAATTTCAAATAAAATAAAAAACCTTTAAAACAATATACAGGGGTAAGGGCTGGGGATATAGCTCAGCAGCACAGCACCTGCCCAGCAAGCACAAGGTCATGAGTTTGATTTCCAGCACAAAAAAACAAAAAAGAAAAAAGGTTAAAGCTAATAGCCTAGTGGTATGGGAGAAGCAAAAACAAAAAGATACTTGGGGTGTAATGGGTACTATGAGTGAAATAAATGAAGCCAGAATAACCAGGAAGAACTACCTCAAATAGGAGCAGTAGGGGAGAGCAACTGACATTTCATGGTGACAAAGCAAAACATGAATGCCAAGGGCTTGAGGTGGAAGGGCTGGAGAAACCGAAGGGCCAGTGGAGCAGGCACTGGGCAAGTGGTATGAGAAGGTAGCAGGGCTCTGCAGGGTGGGGAAAGAAAACACTGAAGAATGGACAGAGGGGACTGGCATGATTGAACCCCTTAGCCTACCAAGATGGGGCGCTCTGGATTGGGGGCAGGACACACAAGGGCAAACATAAGCTGCAGACTGCGGCTCCAAAGGGGAAAGCACATTTCCACGCACCTTCTCTACCACATGGTCCCTTTGCTGAGGTTTACCTGGGGGTGGAGGCGCACAAGGAAGGTCCAGGAGGTGGACTAAGCCACCCACTGGGCAGGGGTTCAAAGTGGGTGGCTGCTGGGTGTCCCCAGGAGTATCATCCAGGAGATCTAGCAGATCCAAGAGCTTTGAGGTCTGGAGGAAAGAATGGAAGGATCAGGGCTGGACACGTAAGCCCAACCAAGTCCTTGCTCCAGCGCAGTGATGGTGAAACCGCAACCCCAAACCCACGTATTACAAAGTGCCAACACTGCAGTTAAACCTGAATACTGAGGTTTCAGTGTACAACTCGTGGTAACACCTTTTGTCTTAAAACTACCACTGCTGTAGGCCCTCCAGCCTCCTCACCTGGGGCTCTGTGGGGACAGAGGCCTTGTCTTCAGAAAGCTGGGCTGCTGCTTGGCTTTCTTTTGCTGCTGCTTCAGCCTGATGATTACCGTGCTCCACAAGGGGGATCTTTTCAAGGATGGCAGCCCTGAAATGATGGAATCAAGGTGTTCTTTTGTGTGATGCCTGCACTTCTCACAAGATGCGTCTGGCAGGAGGACTAGGAACAAGGGGTTCCCTTACATGGGGATCAGAAGTGTCCTGTATTTCATAAGATGGTATATTATTGCCAATGTGGAGGATAGGGAGTCAGTTTAGCTTCAGTGTCTGTGTGTCAGGGTTTTCACTGGGTGAGGAAGGATGCAAGAAGATTGAGAGACCTAGAAGGGGGCATTTGGGACAGAGTAGGGATTTGGGTCCCACTCGGCAGCAGATTGCTGGGCGCACCTCATGTGGTCATACTTCTGGAAGAGTGTGTTATACTCCACGGCCCGCTGCTGCAGCTCCACGTCCACACAGCTCCCGTAGATGGACACCACCTGGCGGATGCGGCTGACCCAATGTGGCATGTGAGTGGCAGTGGCAGTTTGTCCTGCCCTTTTACTCCATGATGTGGCAGGGAAGGGGAGGCCCCATGGAGTAATAAGGCACCCAAACCAGCCGAGCATGGTGGTGCACTCCTGTAATCCCAGCACTTGGGAGGCTGAGGCAGGAGGATTGTTGCAAGTTTGGGGCCAGCCTGGGATACAAAGTGGGCCCAAGGTCAGCCTGAACTGCATAGCACAAAAACAAAACAAACAAAAAAACCCACCTAAGATAAGTGGCTCATAGGCTTGGAGGATTCAGCACATGAATCTGAGAATTTACAAACTGGGAGACAGTGTAGGGAGCTCTTTCAGTGCAGGGACTGGAGCCACTTCTTACTTGATGTCCCCCTGGAGCCGAGTGCTGAGCTTCATGAGGGCTGTGAGGGCATATCCGCGGGTGGCTGGCAGGGACAGGTGGGACTGTAGCACCTTTTCCAGTAGTGCCAGCACCTCCTCCTCTTCTACCTTCTGGTGTGGATGCAGGGAGTGACCCTGAGTCCAGCCCTGCTCCCTGTCCTGGGTCCCTCCTCAGGGCACTTTCCTCGGAGGTCTCACCTGAAGGGTTTCTGTTTCCTCACAGTTCTCCAGCAGGAAGTCCCCGTACTCCCCTATGCACCAGGTGGCCACCTGCACCAGTGGTTGCTGTGTGGGAGAAACACTGATGGGCAAGTGTGTGGGGTCCTCTCCTTTCTTTTAGATGGAAACATTCCTTAGGCAGTGCAAAGATCAGGGGATTGGTAGGGTGGTGAAAGGGAAGTTGGCTGGCAGGCTCTGTCCGGTTCCTGAGCGCCTACTGCTCTCTGGTGGCCAAGCATGAGAACTACATGGCCTTACCACATAATGGAGCCTGCACAGTGCTTGCTCTAAGGAAGTTCTAAGGAGGGTTCCTACCCACCTTAGTGAAGATGGAAAAGGAGGCTACACAGCTGGGTGTGGTGGTGGATGCCTGTAATAACAGCACTCAAGAGGTTGAGGCCAGTCTAAGCTACTTAATGAGACTCGTCTCAAAAGGAGGGGGGCCACAGATACCTGTTAATTTTCATTTGAGGTAATAATAAAATAAGTAGTGCACAATCTTTTATCCATCTCATTTGATTTTTCAGGCAGCTCTGGGATGTGGGCAGGATGGAAAACTGAGCCCATGGGGCCTTAAAAAGGTTAATCATCTGGGATTTACACAGCCAGTTGGTAGCAGAGGCAGGACAGGAGTCCAGGTGTGTGTGTGTGTGTGGTACTAAGGACTGAGCCCAGGGCCTTCACATTGAGCCGTACCTCCAGCAGTTTTTATTTTGTGATAAGATCTTTAGTCACGGGGTTGGGTATTTAGCTCAGCTGGGGATTTGCAGTTGCCTTGCAAGCAGGCAGTTGTGAGTTTGATTTCCGGTACCGATAAAAAACAAAACAAACAAACAAAAAAAGATCTTTAGTCACTCAATTGCCCCAAATGGGTTTGACCTTAGGATCCTGCTACCTGCCTCAGCTTTCCAGAGTACTGAGATCACAGGCACATTTGATCATGCTATGCCTAGTGGCTGGCTCTGTTCTGCAGTGTCTCCTGCAGTAAGTAGACAGCTGTGCCCCTGATGGAAAAACAGTTCACAATCCAGAGCAGAAAAGTGGCCCAGAAGGGGTCAGGAAGTTACTGGGCAGTCCTCGACCATGGCAAGTAGGGATGGTACCTGAGAGATGTCCTCTGCCAGGGCATGGTAGAGGCGGTGCACAGAGTAGGCATGTAACTCCTGGGCCCCTCCAATCAGCAGAGTCAGGTTGGCCACTGCATCATCCCGCACATAGGCACCTGCCTGGAGTGGGTGGGTAGCCTGTCAGTGTGAGGAATTCTGCCCACTCCTGCCCAGCTCTAACTAGCCCATCTCACCGTTGTCAGCACATGCAGGATGGTATCTATATGCCACCGCTTAGTTGGAGCAAACCTAGGGCAGACAGCTTATCAGTCCTGGCACTATCCCTTAGCAGACTATACCCTCTCTGTCTCCTGGCACTTGTCACCTCACCTCTCTGCAGCCAGCAGGATTCCTGAGGCACAGTCAGCCCGAAGATCCGAGGGGCAGGACTCCAGAAAGGCCTGCAGCTCCTGTGTCATCACTCGAACATTGGAGCTGTTCACCAGAGCCAGGCTCAGTTCCAGGGCCCGCCTGGGGAAGGAGGGTGTCTGTAGGTATTCCAGGTCAACTTGCTGCTCTGACCACCACATACTGGGTCCCCTGTCCTTTTGTCCCATCTCTGCTTACCGGCTAAGGGAGGCATCAGTTTCCCGCAAACATTCTACCACAGTAGGCCGATGTCGCTGAACGGCACTGTGATCAGACTGCACCAGCCTCAGCAATGAGGTCAGGGCCACATACCTGGCCAGGGTGGGAAAGGCTCTATCATACCATGGCCAACAGCACTGATAGTCTGTCCTGCTCTGGGTATAATGGTAAGAAGTAGGTAGATTGGGGGGCTCTGGAGGGAGGAGTGCAGAAGGCCAGGGTTTAGTGGCACAGCCTAGCAAGACACCAGGGATTCTTACCTAATGTTCCTATCACTCTTGAGCAGGAAGCGGCCAAGAATGTTGACAGCTAGAACCTATGAGGGACAAAGTGCTGAGACATTCACAGAAGACACAACGTATTCACTCAGGAGAAGGGACTGCATGGTATAGGGTGACAGGTATGGGGGAGAAGCCAATGAATAGGGCCCACGTGTGCCTGGCTGAGGGTAAGGCAGGTAGGGCCCAGGGGAAGGACACATGCGATGATACCCGTAGGCCAGCTGCAGAACGGATGTCCATGATGGTGAGTACTGTCTCATATAGGACTGCACTGCCAGCATTTCGGCGGGTGTCTGTGTTGGTGGCCACCTAAATGAATGGGAGATGCACGTGCGCAGGGCTTGTTCTCCATCCTAGGGTGCTGGCACTTCTGTTTTTCACTTCTGTTCATTTCACAACCACCCAACAAAGTTCCCCAAACCCTATTATGTGCTAGGGCCAGCCTGGGCACTGGGGCAGTAGCACTATAACAGCCTGTGTTCCTCCTACATGGATTTCACTGGCTAGAGAAGATGGAGGGGGTGCTTACATGGCTGCTGCACAGTAGGGGTCCCTTGAGTGATACCCTGGGCTGATGGACCCCAGCTTCCCTCCACAGGGGGATCTAAGCAGTGACCCCCTTCCAAGCCCCAACCTGGGCCAGCAAGTCATTCATGGTCTCACTGCTTTCCTCGTGGTTCCGGCCTAGGATCCGAAGCAGACGAAGTATCTGCACCTAAGGTTGGGTTAACCAGTAAAACATGAAGGAGTTAATAGGAGTTGTGGGCCAGAGGAGAAAAATCCAACACTAAGAGATCTGGCTAACCTTTTAGCACCTTTTACCCACCTCTCATCTCCACAGGTCCTTCGTGTGGGAGGTCAGGGGAGTTACGACAAGCTTCTATTTTTAAAAACTGGATTTTTTTTTCTTTGTGATACCAGGAATCAAACTCAGGACCTCGCCCTTGCCAGGTAGGTGCTGTGCCATTGAGCTATATCCCTGGCCTAAACTGGATTTTCTGAACTTCAAGCATTCCCTCTCCCCAACTGGTCCTGGGGTGACCAGAGAAATCCTGAGCTTGCTAGCCTCCTGCCCATGATGCTGAGCCTAAGTGTCCTCTAGAAAGTGACTACTGGCAATGGTCTTACTGCTAAGGCTTCTCTATTTCAGGGGCAAAACAGGGGGAGGTTTCCCACCTGCAGAAAAGGGTCACTGACTCCAGATATGTTGTGCTCTGTGGAGTATCCTGCTGTCACTAGAGTTCGGAGGATCTGCACCAGCTTGGGTACCACCTGGAGAGGGGCACAGCCTTGTTTCAACATCCATCATCATCCTCTCAACTGTATGTCCCATTCCTCCACCATGCCCATCTTTCTCCAGCCCACCTTTTGAAAGTGCCTGAGGGCTGCAGGGCTTCGTTGGCAGAGCTCCGTGATCAGTGTGATGGTGCCCAGCAGGATGCCTGGGGTCAGGGTGGGGAAGTAAATTGTGGGTCAGGGCGCAGGAGAGTCTAATGCATGCATGTCTGTATGGGTATGCAACCCTTTGTCCTAAGAGCTGGTGCTGCTATCCCGTTTTTCACTTCTATCTATAGCCAGACCTGAAGCAGAGGATGGGGAGTCAGCAGTCTTACCATGGTGGCGCTCATGAAGCAGTGTGACACACGGTGGAAGGAAGATGTCAGAGAGTTCAGGGACTTTTCGGACCATGTGCACTGCAGTAAGAATAGCCTGCAGGGGTCAGAGGCTTCAGATAGGTCAAGGGTCCACCAGGTTGGGTTCCTCACCACTCCTACCTGGCAGACCAGGGAGAGTTTTGGAGGTGCGAGTGCTTAGAGCTGTATCTCACCTTTTTGCGTACATAGGGGCCTGGCTGCAGGAGCAGCTTCTCCACTTCTGTGGCCAGGTCCCGGCACATCTCAGCAGATCCCATGGTGCTCAGAGTGCACAGAGCAAGGCCTTGAACTGGCTGAATCCCCTGGCTCAGGTCACTGCAGGGTTGGGAAGATGAACCCTTAGGGCCTCTGAGAAAATTCGGCCTTCCCACCCTGAATAGCAGGCAGCCCATTAGGATTTCTGTTTTCCACTCTCCCGTCTCCCTGATTTCAAATGCCCCCAGAACCTTCTCACTTTTTGATGCTGTTGGTAATAAGCAGGTGGGCATCGTGCCTCTCATCCAACAGAAGCATGGCCCCCAGGTAGCCCACCCTCTTGTCTATGAATCTGGGAGAAGCGATCAGTTTCAGGCACTCCATCTGTAGAGAAGGAAGCAGGGATAAAACCAGAGACCCTAACATTCCCGCTCCATTGTCTGCCTTAACATCAGTTTACTGTAACATGTGGGACATCATATACTGCCACCCTCTTCAGCCAGATGCTTAAGAGTCAGGTTGGTGGGCGGTTTCAAGGACCCAGGAGTGGAGGAGGATGAGAGGAAAGGGGGTGCCTTAAATGGGGCTGGCCTGGCCCGGCAATGAAGGGTTTAGGTCAGCTGATGAATAGGGGTTGCCACCTGTGAAGCAGTTTTTCAGTGCATGATGTGAGGGCTCAGGAACGGGGAAATGAAAGCGGTAGGGGCACAAATGCGCAAGCAGTTCTACGAACCCTGTCTTATTGGCCTTCCTCCTCACACTCCAGAGGGAAAGCTCTTGGGCCATTACCTGTCCAAAGTGGGCGGGGTAGCCCAACATGTGGACGTAGAGCAGTTTGGCTAGCTGGCGGTGCCTCTGCATGGGGTCCCCATCACGGAAGGCCGCCCGGATATGGGCGCACTCCTTTTGGATCACCTCCCGTTCCTGGGCCTGAGTCTTGGCCCCGCGAATCTCCTCGATGAGGTCGTGAAGCTTTAGCGAAGACACCAGCATTCTGGGGGACAGAGTCAGAGCTCAGGGGTGGAGAAGGCTTTAATACTCTCTGCCAGGGGGTCAGCCTCGTCCCGCGCCAAGACCTTAAGGACCCAGGTGCCACCGCTACGCTAAAACTGAGTCGACATTTCCCTTTGCCCACCCGGGTCTCCAAATCCCACCGCCCAAAGTGCTCCCAATACGCATGCGTCCCGCCCCACGCCTGTTCCTAGCGAGCGTGCGCCACAACCCCGCCCATTGCCCCCTCCCTCCCCGACCTGGTGGCCCGTCTGCAGCTCAGCGCTTTTCCCTTCCCGGGCTCTGCGCCGCTGCGGTGGCGAGATCCCTTCCCTCCATTTCCAACTCTGGATGCTTCAGTTTTCCGGCCCCACAACGCCCGAGTCTCACCTGTGTTCAGTTTTAACTGTGCTTCTCTACCCCCCAGCGCTTCCTGGTGCAGGGCCCAGTAGGGTTGGAGCTTGATCAGGTCCTTCCCTCTCCCCGCCTCCACGACGTTTCCCGCCCCTGTCAGCCTTTAGACCTCAGGCCGCCTGAGGGGATGGAGCTGTGGCCCGTGCAGGGTGCGGGACTGTACAATAAACCTGCTTCTTTTACATCCGTATCGCCGGGAAAGCCTCTGAGAGCTTGGGTCTGAAGCCATCGCAGCCCAAAGTAAATGACGACTCCCCCCTTTTTTGAACTTTTTTATTAATATATTTTTTGTTAAATTTCTTTGTATTTTTTTTCCTGCAAGACTTGGTGTTGGCGGCACTGTTGTATAACTTCAATCCCAAATTCCATGTAATAGAAATCAGAAGTAAAGGTTGAAAGGGGAGGGAGGAGGGAGGCAGGCCAAGGAGTAAACAGAGTTTGACTAGAAAAAAAGAGGGTATGTGTGGTGGGCATTCCCGGGCAAGGCCATTCCTCGAGGGAGGGGTTGTAGGGCAGTAGTCTCTACCTCATGCAGGGGAGGGAGGAAAGATCCCCAGGGGACCCTACAATCCCCTCTTTCTAGGGCTTCCTGCCCCCAGGGGAAAAGCTAGTACAGGGGATCAGCCAGCAACCTCCCAGAGGGCTCTCCACCCACCTCACCCTAGGCCCAACTCTTCCCTTCCTGGGAAGTAGAGGAGATGGCAGCTTCCTTTGGTCCCCTCCTTCTGCCGCTGGTTTCCCATCCCACAAGATTCTGATGTGATGGGGGAAGGGACAGAACCCGGAGACTACTGGACTTGTCACTTCTGCTGTCCAATGAGCTCCGTTAGCTTGGTTCTACCCCCCCAGAAACGACTCCCCGACTAGGAATGCCAGAGTTGGGGAACAGGGTCCTAGCTCAAATGCCTCTAACCCTCTGCAGTACAAGTGTCTCCATCAGGCCCCATAGGAATTTAATCAAAGGCCACAAGTGAGTCCGGACCAACCAAATACACTTTTAAAGGGCAGAGAGGTCAGTGGCAAAGCCAGAGGGGTGGGCTTTGCTGCATGGGAGGTTGTTTTGTTCCTTTACACACTGCTCTTGGCATTGCATGCCCTCACAGGGGTCGTAAGAGCGACCGGCTGTAGGGAAAGAAAGGGGGTTTCTAGGACTTTGTTCTATTATTCCCTTCCTTTAACTTCCTCCAGGAAGGATCAAGTTAGGCAAGAACCTAGCTGGGAGTCGGGAGGTGAGGTAATATCCTCCAAGGTAAGAGGTGGAGGCAGCATCTCCTCCAGCCTGTTCACTTGGGCCAGGAAGCCACAGGCTCAGCCAGCAGCTGGTCCAGCATTTAGTTGCCTCATTTCCATTTTCTTCCTCCTCTGCATTCAGCTTCCAGCACACTCCTCAAGACACCAAATCCCCACCCTCAGCAGAGTGTAGGTTTAAAGAAAATGTGGGGAGGGCACGGGGCAATGGTCTGACTTAGATTTGTGTGTCTCAGAGAGGAGAGCAACTCTGAGAGAGAAAAGCCCTTCATATGTAAACAATCTAGAGAAGAATAGGGTGAGGGAGCAAGAGGTCCAGGGCAAATAAGAGCATCTGAAAGAAGAGAGAGAGGGAAGGCAAAAGCAAGAGACCAAAACCAAGAGGGACAGAAGAGAAAAAGGCGAAAAAACAACCAGGATGAGGAAAAGAGAAAAAGGCAGGCCAAAGGGGTGAAGAGGCAGGCAACCAAAGCCAGAACTAGGCCAGGAAATAGCCTCAGGTGAGGAGCTGGGAGAACAGGAACGCCAGACTGAGGTCCAGGAGGGCCACGGCTCCCACCACCAGCGGGTTGGCAGCTCCCTAGAGAGACATGGGGGAAGCAGCCTCAGTCCCTGCAGTCCAAACCCATTGCTAAATCCTGTCTCTCTGTCCTGGCTTCAGTAGATACATCCCTCCAGAGAGCAGGTGGATCTCCAACCTTTGTTTCCTATTGCAAAACAATTCCCTGCTCTCAGGCAGAGCCCCACCTTTGCTCAGGCACTTTCGAGACAGGGCCAGCCCTTTTCTGTCTCCTCCTTCCACTCCCCTCCCATCAGCATATCATGTGGCCCAGGCAGAAGGTGCCCGGCCTTAGTAGCAGACACTGGCATCAGCAGCCAGTGCTGCAGTAAGGCAGAAGGATGCAGGGGGTGAGGATGTGGTTGCCAGGAAACAGGAGATGGCCTGGAATCCAATCAGAACAGAGGGTTACGGGGAAACTCCTCCTCTTCTGGTCCTCTGCCTTTTTTCCCCTATTTTCTTTCTTCCCAGGAGAGGGAGGGGGAGTGAGGGAAGAATTTTTTCTTTTTTTATTTCTGGGCACCAAAGAGAGAAAGTGCGGAGGTGGGGGTGGGGGTGGAGTAGGAAACTGGGAGCTGGAAATGATATGGAAGGAGAACAGGCAAATATGTTCTGGTTCTATCATTAATTATTAGTTTGATACTGTGGTAAAGTTACTTTAACTACTGTGAGTCTCAGTTCCCCCATCTGTCAAATGAGGGAGCTGGACTTGAAGGTCTCTAAGGTTCCTTCTAGCTTAAAATTGTCTATTTTTTTTTTTTTTTTTTTTTTTTTTTGAAGTGGAATATGGTCCAAGACTAGTCTGGCAGAGAGGAAGCTGAGTGGAAATCAATGCCCCTCAGGGAATCAGACAGAGGTCTGGAAAGGGTGTGAGGCCAGGCTTTGAAAGTGGGGACAGGGGTGTCTCACCGGCTGGGCAGGTCTTTCAGTTGCAGCAGGCTCCTCAGATTCTTCCATCAGGTACCCAGCATCCAGACCCCTTGGGGAAGGGCCCCTCAGGACTGGACAGGCAACGGGCTCAGGTTCTGAGCCTCCCGAAGCCCTCAGTTGAGGCAAGGGCTCTTCATCTTCACCCTCCTCTTCTCGAAGGCTTCCGGAACTGTCACTGCAGCCTCCAAGGAGTAAGGAACCATCTCTGGGCCCTGGCCCCTGTATCCCAGCCTCATCCTCAGCCTCATAGCCAGCTAGTTCCTCTGCCTGCTCACCCGGCCCCCCCCACTCCTCAGGCCAAGCTTTGGGGCTGGAGAAGGGACCCCAGTCCCCTCCAGGCGGCAGTGGGTTCCGGCACGCAGGGGCTCGCCAGGGTTGGCGGGAGGAGGCAGGACTGCTGGGCAGTTCGGGGGAGCCCTCTGATGGGGTTAGTCCGTTCTCGTAAACCCCAGGGCTGTCCTCATCCAAGGGCTCTGTGTCGGAACCTTCTGAGTCCTGCCTGGGTCTGCGGCCTGGGTAGGGATAGCTGAGCATCAGTGGTGCTTGCCTGGCTGCAGGCTAGAGCAGTCGCAGCCCGAGGCTCTGCCCAGGTCTTTGGTATCCCCCAGCCTCCAAGTTTTTCAACACCAGACCTAAAACCCCATTAGCCTGCTGCATAATTCCAAGTTCCACTCCCCAGAAAACTGGGTGTGGTTCCCATCCTTTATACCCTTGGACTCTGTACCTTGGCTTTTCCCATCCCCAGACTTCCGGTGGTGCTTGCCACCCGTTTGAGCCTCTCTGGCTTCCAGGGGCTCACCCATTCCCCAGGCTGCCCACATCTCACCTGGAGCCTCTAGCATGGGTTGTAGGTCCTCAGCGATCAGTTTGGCCATCCGTGCTGCCTCCACAGCCTTCTCAGCAATGCTGCTGGCTGCCACTGCCTTTAGGAGGGCATCTGCTGCCCTGTTAGGTCCCAGGAGATACAGACTTAGTGGATCTCCCTCCACTTCAACTGCTCAGACACCCTAGCCCCCTCATTCATGTCCCCACCATTTCACACCCCTCAAGTCTTATCTGAGCTCACCTGCAGTCCTCGCCCTTCCTCAGGCTCTGCCAGCTGCTCCCTTCCTGGGCAGGCCAGGCTCTCATTCCCTGCCCTGCCTGCTCTCATTCTCTCTCCTGGACTGGGCTGTTTACCTCTGTCACACCTTCCTGCTCTCTCACATCCTCTACCCTTGCATCCTGTAGTAACACTTCCTCCTTCCAGTGGCAGGGGCAAGGCCCTCTCCAAACCCTGCTGTTCCATTGCTGTCTTCTTCCCTGCCTAGTGACAGCACATCCTCTGTACCCCGCTTGATGCTTACAAGCTCTGCTGATCGCCATCTTTGCGACTTCCTGTTGTTACCAACCCCTCACACCTGGGCTCACATGCCTTCCTGTGGTGTCCAGGGGACTGTCCTGTACCATGATCTTTTTCTTTCCTTACAGTTCCACCTCTCCCTTGCCCCCTTGTTCCTAGGCCCCCTCCCCCTTGCCACTGCTAGCTTTCCTAATTATTTAATCCTACCTTTTCCAGGGCAGTTTTCCCAGCATGGGAATTTCCCTTTTGACTTTTTTGTGGCCTCTTTCCACACCATTCTTCCCACTCTGTCACTGCCCTGCCTTATGCTTTTCTGAGGTTGAGAACTGGACTGAGAGTGGATCTCCCCTGTATGCTACAATTGCATCCTCTTCTCTCAGTATTTGCTCAATATTTCAATTATTCTTTTGGGGTAAACTCGTAGTCTCCTTTCCATACACCCCTGTTTTATCTTGGCCTGCTCCCTAGGTACAGGTCATCCTGAAGCATTATCAATCCTTTGTCCATTGTTGTTTCTCAGTTTTCCTAATGTCAGATGTTCCTCAATTTGTCCTTCCCTTTCCCTCTCAGCTATTAGTTGGAGATGGCTTGCAATCATTAAATTAGTTCTGTAATTCTGACTCAAGTGTGGGACAAAGATAATCAGATAGACTTGCTATGAGCTTGAATGGTTCAAGACCTCTGACTCCTTCAGGCCTCAGGTCTGTTTTATCTGGCTTAGAAAGGCAATCTGGACCTGAGGGATAGTGATGTCCACTGTAGTCTTAAGTCCAACTCCTGTTTATGAAAGGACTTCAGATAACCCTGTCCTTTGCTGTCTTAGTGTGTTCAGACTACCTCATGACTCACCCTGTCTTGAAACTAAGCTGGTCTTGGGGTTTGGGGTAGAGTATGAAATCACGGTCTTGAGTTTCACTGAGTTCTCTTGACAACCATGACATGACAAGGGCCTGTGTTTTTGTGTCTGGAAGGTACAGATGATGACATTTAAGCAGTTGATTTAGTCTGTGCTCAGGCATCAAGGCCAGGCTCAGGCTACCTGGCCGAGGCACCTGCTGCAGAGGCTGTGCTGTTCCCATGGCAGCCAGCAGCCAATCAGAGTTGCCAGGCCTGTTGCCGGGGATACCAACCAGCCTTTTCCTACAGCCTGATCCTCTAGTTACTGAGCTCAGTTTTTTCTTGCATATGCCTCCACCTTATCTAGCCCAAAATGTTCCCTGTTGCTTTGCCCTCCCCCTTTCCTGGCTTAAAGCCCTGGATTCTAACAACCAGATTCTCAGATACATCTACATCTGTACATTCTCTGGCACAGGCATTACTCTGGATTTGACATGTTCATACTAAGGCATAAACACACACACACACACATACACACACGCACACGCACACTTTGTAACCTATTATATAAATTCACTGAATTATATTTGGACATATCCTTATCTCTATCTAGCTCTCTGGAACAGTCTCAAATGTCTTAAATGTGCTCCATCTCTTTTAAAGAAACTGCAATATATAAACACTCAAATTATGAGCTTTATAAATCAGGGGTCCACGAATCCAATTACAAATAGAGTTTTGGCTTTCTTTACGTCTGTGGTGTCTAATTCAGAGTCACAAGCCATAGGTGGTTATTAAACATTTGAAATGTGACTAGTCTGAATGAAAATGTTCTTATTAGTGTAATTTACACATTAGATTTTAAAGGCTTGGTCCAAAGGGAATGTATAATCTCAATAACTACATTGATTATGAATTAAAAAATTTTGGGTATATTGGTTTAATATAAATGTTAAAGTTTTTTCACCCATTTCTTATTTATTTATCTATTTTTGGTACTGGGAATCAAACTCAGGACTCTGCACTTGTCAGGCAGGTGTTGTGTCATTTTATTTTTAATGTGGCTAATAAAAGATTTATGATGACATATTTGGCTCACATTACATTATTGTTGGGAAGCACTGCTTTGGATAGTGAGTTTCCTGATGCATGGAAATATAATCTGATTTACAGAAAGAAATTTCCATTTACAGGTATGTCTCTTCTCCCCCTACCTTCACCTATGGTTAAAGTCAGGGGAAGCAAAGCTGGGAGAGACTAGCTTTTTCAGGTGGGTAGACAGGCTGCAAAGATTAAATCTCCCCAAGGCCCAGGGCTGAAAGGGTGCCAGGCTGGAGCATAGTTGGGAAGAGACCACTCCCACTTCTGCCCAAGGCTGATGCTCCTAGCCTGAGGCCAGAAGGCTGGATGGGCTGCAAGAGGAAGACCAGGGACAGGTCAGTTTGAAGAGGTTTCTGGGTAGCAACAAAGAAGGCTCACTGCTATTCTCATACACACAACTGATGGATTCAACAGACACACATCTCCATAGAAAAGACACTGAGACAGTTTTGTGCACTTCTGGGAATGCCCAGCCACCCAATTACACCCACATCCACCTGTAGCCTCACATATAAACACCCCAAATCCAGGGCTACAGCTGCAGGGCCTTAGGCGTGCTCTTTCCCATCAGGCCCTAGGCCTTGCCCCTTAAGGGCCTCTTAGACACCCCTCTGCTTTCCTATACATACAGCATTCTCTACTTTTAGCCCACCTGGCAGCGGCGATCTCCTGACGCTGGCGGGCAGCACTCACGGCTCGACGGGCGCCTTCGACCGCCCTGTCCACTTTCTCCTTGACTTTGCCCCGACGCAGGGCCAGAGGCAGGAGGCTGCGAACACGGCCCCCGTGCACCAGCCGGTTACGCTTGTACTTGCCCTCTTCCCGGGAGCCGTCCGGACGGGTGGTGCGCCCATAGCCGTGCCGTCGGTTGCCCAGCCACTCGCCCTCATAGCGCAGCCCGTTGGAGCGCTGGCTCACTCCGAAGCCACTGCGCCTGTCAGCTCGCCACTCGCCCGCATACACTTCAGTGGCTGAGCCCTCAATGAGGGCTGGAGGTGCTGGGGCTGGGGGCCCGCTGGCCTCGGAACCCGGTGGTCCGGTGCTGCCCACCTCGCTGCTCACCTCGCTGCGCAGGGATCCCCGCTTGCTGCCCAGGGAACTGCGGCGCCCACCTGCCCGGAGCCCGCTGAGCAGCAGCGAGCGGCGGAAGAATCCACCTGCCGCTGGAGTGCGCTTGCGGGAGGATGCACCGTCGGCGTCCCCAGGCCCGGCCAGCACGAAGCCGCCCCGGGAGCCAGAGGCTGGGCTGCCTCCCTCATCGCCGGGCAGGGGCAGGGGCGGGGGCGGCGTCGGGGGGTCGCTGTGGCCTGAGTCCAGGGAGGTGCGGCGGGGTGAGCGCAGCAGCGCCGCCTGATGGTAGGGTACACTCTGGCGCACCCCGTAGCCATGGCGTTTCCCAGCCTGCCACTGGCCCTGGTATGTGCCTGCAGGCAGAACAGAGGTGGGAGAGAGTCAGAACCTGGCGCTTGGGCTCCTTGCATCCCAGGCCCCCAAACCGTTGGAAGCCCAAGTGTCAGGTGGGAGAGGTGGAGGCAGCGGGTATGGAGGCTTGGAAAGGGCACTGGGAGAGGCGGCCAGGGCAGGCTAGGTGGCAAGTTGTAGCCAAGCAGTGAAGTGCAGGTATCAGAAGACACGTGCATTAGAATGCACTGTGGGTAGACGGAAAGGCGGGGTAGGCAGGCTGGGAGTGTGTGACAGATAAAGGGTGTGAGGGGCAGGGAGACACGGTGGGGGGAGGTGTATAAGATAAGCTTGTGACAGGCAAACAATTGTGAGGACATGCTGACTGGGGCAGTGGTGTGAGCCTCCAGGCAGGCAGGGCACAGTCTGGAACCCGCAGGTAGAGGTTGGGAAGCAGGCAGAAGACAGTCAAAGGAGGAGTACGCGTGCGCTCGCTGGTGGGAGAGGCAGAAAAATGGGGCTGTGGATGGGGAACAGTATGCAGGACAGATGGGTGCATGGAGAAGCAGAAGAATGGGCGCAGGGGCACATGTGTCTGGGGAACACATGTGCGTGGGGAACAGCAGGGTGTGGGGGGCAAGTGGCAGGGGAAGGCACCCGCGGATGCGAGGGCGACAGCAGTGGGCCGGGCCCGCACCTCCGTCGGAGTAGGTCTCGGTGCCGTAGCCATCCTGAAAGCCGTCCTTCCAGAGTCCTGCGTAGCGCAGGCCGGACGCACTCTCCCACACGCCGCTGCGCCCTTTCAGTCCGCCCAGCCACTCGCCGCGGTACGTCCAGCGGCTCTTGCGCTCCACGCCCAGCCCTTCGCGCTTGCCCTGTTGCCAGTGGCCCTGGTAACTGTGTCCACCGGGCCCGGTGAAGACGCCCAGTGACTCGAAGCCGTGCGCCCAGCAGCCGCTGTACTCGCCCTGGGCTCCGGGCCCCGTGCACACGCCGTAGCCATGTGCCCGCCCCGCCTCCCAGCCCCCCACGTAGCAGCCCCCGTCGTCAAAGTCGAACTTGCCCCCGGGGGACATGCATGTAGTTGGCGTGGCCTCAGCCCCCCGGTGGCTCAGCGCATCCTGAGGCTGGAGAGCCGGCTGGGGGTCTGGGGGCCCGACGAGGCCTGGGGGCGGGGGCAGTTAGACCGGGGCTGGGCGGAGGGGCCCCAGCGCGGGCAGGCAGGGCCGGACCCTCATCCTGAGTGGCTGTGGAGAAAGAAGGGGGCAAATGGAGAGCGAGACCTCTCCTTTTTGCCCCCACTCCCGGACCAGGTGGCTCAGGAGCATCAGCACCGCCCCCCAGGACCCCCTCCCCCGCCCCGTCAGTAGCATCTTCCGGCCGCTCCCAAGCTTTGGGGGCGCGGGGGCTTGTCCATCCTCCCAACTTGTAGAGGGCTCCTCCCAGGACTTGGGGCTCCAACCCCAAGCAGGAGTCCCACTTCTTCAACCTAGAACCCTAGATTGCCGAGTAGGGAATGGCAGTTGCGGGGGGTGGTGGTGGTGGTGGTGGTGTTAAGAGGGAGCTGGGCAGAATGGTAGGCCACCGCTTCCCAGCTGATATTAGAACCCCTCTGTCCTGGTTCTTTGGCTTCCCCAGCAAACCCAAGGTGGGTGGTGTAGAGGCTGTAGCGGGGAGATGGGACCGAGGTGGGAAAACGGTCTGTGGGGGAAAGGATAGAGATGGGGGAAGCTCCCTAGGGGAAAAGCCAGGGTGGGGATGGGCAGACGGGTGGAAAGGAGGAGGCAGGTACTCACCATGTGGGCTGAGGCGCAGGCTGCCTCCCAGGCAAGGCGTCCATGGCAGGATACCTCCACTCCCACCCGGGCTAGCCAAGCCCCCTCCTCTTCCGGAGAGACTGCTCCAACCCAGAGAGGGAAGGCGAGGTGGGGGAGCTGTGGGAGAGTCCCCTCTCTCTTCAGCTGGGCGGTGAGGTCGTGGCAGGGGTGGAGGGAGAAGAGAATAGTGTAGAGGGAAAAAAATCTGCTTTGGATAGAGATAGGAAAGAGGAGCTGGGCGCTGGATGAGAAGGGAGGGCTATCAAGAGGGAGTGTTTTTATTATTTTTTCTTCTTTTGGTTGGGAGAAGAAAAAGAAAAAAATCAAAATTCCGATTCCATCCCAGCACAAATCAATGTTTGCTCCATCCCAGCATCACGGGGGAGGCTGGGCCAGGCAGATTTAAAGGGGCAGAGAGAAGAGAAAAGAGAGAGGAGAGGGTGGGGAGGAGAAGAGGATGAAGAAGAGCCAGTGGCAGCGATGGGGATGGGGTTGGGGGGGGTGTGCCCAGGGAGAAAAGAATGGGTCCCACTGATCCTGCAGTGAAAGAGGAGGCAGTGGGGAGGGGGAGGAGGACTGAAAGGTATAGAGACCCCCAGGTAGAAAGGAACCCTGGCATGCAGGCGGGAGTGGGGTGAGGCGAGGGGAGGAGAGAGGAGCTGGAGGGAGGAGACTGAGCTGAAGATGGGGTAGCAGGGGGAGGCCGGAGCCGGGCGGGGGAGGAGAGATGCTCTAGAGGCGGGGAGAGGGCGAGCAGAATACAAAGAAAGAGGTGCAGGGAGAGAGCCAAGGAGGTGGCAGATGCCGACAGGGAGGGAAGGAGGGAGGGAGGGACATCCACTCGGGCTGGTGAGGGATGGCCGCGGAGGGGAAGAGCGGGGAGAAAAGAGGGGGAAATCCAGAAACTGACTTGGAGCCTGAGAGAGCAAAATAAGGTAGTGAAGGGAGGGAGAAAGCACTGCAGGGACGGGCAGGCGTGGCTATAGAAATCCTGGCAGGCAGAGCCCAGATCGAGGTAAGAGAGCTGAAGCGCTGCTGGGTGGGGGTGGGGCCCTAGGAGGGGAGGTGAACCTGCCACCTTCCTGCCCAAAGCCTGGCTCCAGACCTCACCATCCTCTGCCCTCATCATCTGTTTCTCCCAGGATTGGCCCTCTAAAGGGAGAGGGGTGTGTTGTTTTTGTGTTAGGGTGTGGTGCTTTAATTTAGCTAGGGAATGAAGATTTGGGGGCTTTACAGTCTTATCTTTTGTGAACCTAGAAGCAAAGACACAGAAATATGTTTGGGCAGGCTCTTCTTGTGGCAAGGACCTTTCTAGCTCACAATCCCCCTATTTCTGTCTCTTCACCAGAGAGGGGCTGCACATCTGGACCTTAGTATTTACAGCCAGATGTAGGCACACAGAGTTCCCTTCTTCTTCTTCTTCTTCTTCTGCTTCTTCTTCTTCTTCTTCTTCTTCTTCTTCTTCTTCTTCTTCTTCTTCTTCTTCTTCTTCTTCTTCTTCTTCTTCTTCAGGGATTTGCATCCAGTTCTATCCCTGCCCCTAAGCACCTGGGAAGAAGGAAGACATTGTTACTGTGTCCAGTTACACACAGTAGGTAGAGACATCCACTCAATTGGCTGAACAGGCCTCCACCCCCATTTTAGAGGAGAAAAATAGGGCCAGAAGAGGAAGTCACTCAGAAGAAACCACAAAGCAGAGGTGGCAGAACTAAGATTATAACACTACATGAATTTTCTTTTTGTGCTAAAACTCAAATCCAGCAGCCTGGGCATGCTAAGCATATGCTTTACCAGTAAGCTACACCCACAGAAGACTTCAGATTTTTTGAGTCAAGTAATTTCTCCCAGTGTTCCATGTGCTTGGGAGCCTCCCTTAGGCTCAAAGTCACCATTTTGAGTTCTTTGGTAAGATAAAGAGCATGAAAGAAACAGGGATTTCCCTTGCACTGTGTTTTTCTCAAATTTTATATGAAAAGAAACCTGTGAACGTTAAGCCTACAGTGTAGGGACCATATATTTTGGGTGTTTGGCACAAAACAAGGAAGCAATGGTTCCACTTGGGACATCACTGTTGCTAGAGTTCATTCATTTCTCTATTCATCACCATCAATATAGCTTGCTGTTCACCAGCAAACTATGACCAGGAGCTGGATTTCCAGGGGAGAATACCTGGTGCTTGCCCTCATGGAGTTTCCTGTCTAGTACAGAAGACAGTCACCTATGAAGCTTTCTAGTGTGGTTAGTGCCCTGACAAGTTCACAGGGTAGAAATAGGACTACAGTGGAACTGAACTTCAGCTGGCTCCGGAGGGAAAGAGGCACTGACTCTGACTCCCACACAAGAGTGCTCTGGGGCAGGCCCAGCTGCATGGCTCAACTCTAGATATTTAGCCCTTCCTTCTCCACACAGTACCTCGTCCCTGTGATTCCTCTTTTCTGAAAAAAAGGGGAAAAACAAGTAAAAGCAATCAGTGGGCCTGGAGGACCTGTGCCCTGTTCTTGAGCAGGAGTTAAGGCAAAATGCCTTATTGGTGACAGGGTTTGATGAAGCCCTGATCTTGAACAAGAGAACCCTGGAGTGCGTGGATTTGTATTTTTTGGAGAGAGAATCAATCTTGCAGCCCCTTTTTGGTCTCTCCCTACCACAGCCTGCAGTACCCCTTTTTAGGGAAGGGACACTTTTTTCAGGGAGTCCCTTTTTAAGTTTACCACAATTTAGTGATATTCAGGTGCCATGGAAAAGGGAACCAGTGTTAATGGGAGCAGCTCTGCACTAGGAGCTGGGTACTGTGCTTGGCACTCCTTCTGTATTACCTCATCCAATCCTAGAATCAAAACTGTAACTGTGAGCAGTCCAGGCTGGAGACTAAGAGCTGGGCTTCCAAAGATGGAAAAACCTGAGCACATAGTCTATGTTGTCTGAGCTGAGTTTGTATATCTCTAAAACAGGAACATCATAATCTATTCCACTGCTTATTGCAGAAATTGAAACAATCATATACGAATTATATGTGTGATGGTATGTATAGTATTTAGAGGGTAAATAGTTGGCATAGTACCACTGCATAGCAAGTGTTCAGTAAACGGTGGCTTGAAAAATAGCTTGGTGCCGGGGGTTTAGCTCAGTGGCGTAAGTGCCTGCTTAGCAAATGTGAGGTTGTGAGTTCAATCCCCAACACCAAAAAAAAAAAAAAAAAAAGAAAGACAAAAGAAAAGAAAAACAGCTCGACATTGTGCCACTTTTATAGGTGCTCATCTGAGATTCAGAAGTTAATTTGCTCAGTGTTGTCCAACTAACATATGGTGACATTTGGAGCCCAATATTTATCAGACTTCTAAGTTTGAATGCTTTAATAGATGTATTTTGGGGAGTCCTGTTTTAAAAGTAAGATATTCTCACTGAAGAATTAGGAAAATATATAACAATTCAATTAGAAAAATGAAAATCACCCAATAGTCTGACTATGTAACAAATCTTTCAGTGTATCTTTATGTAATATTTTCTTTGCATTTTAAAATTGAATTCAATTTGTTAAATGTCACACATATGATTTTGTATCCTACTAACTCGCTTAGCTATACATTGTAAGCGATTTCCATGTCATTAAAGCATCCTTGAATCTTTAATGGCTGCATAATATTTGCTGTTTGGATGCTCCATAATTTGTTGAACTCTTCTAGTGTAGCACTTTTATATTGTTTGCACATTTATACCATTAAAAATTAACATTTCTGTATAATCTTTGTATCTCTGATGTTTCATTTCAAATATTTTATCCAGGAAATTAAAAAAATACACTAAGGCACACCACATAGAATAAAAAACTTCTGTGTACCCATCACTCAGCTTTAGTAATTCAGTCTTGGCTAATCTTGTTTTTCTCCTCTTCCATTCATTTAAAATCCAAGGTATTGTGTTATGTTAGTCTATTTTTAAAGAAGACTGACTTTATTTTGTCAGAATCACTTCTAGAATGGTAGGACAGATTTACACTCAACAATTGAGCATGAAAGTGCTGATCTTATTGTACCCTAACCCACACTGACCTTAGTTGTAAGGTAAGGTCTCTCTCTTTCACTGTCAGCTTGACAGGTAAAGAGTGTTTTTTTTTTTTTTTAAATCGGTACCAGGGATCGAACTCCTGACCACCTGCTTGCAAGGCAGGTGCTTATGTTGCTGAGCTAAATCCCCAGCCCCAAGAGTGCTTTCTTTATATGCCTTTCTTTGATTGTCAGGCTTACATTAAAAAGGCATCTGGTGACTCCAGTGGAGTAAACCTCCTGGAAGGGCCCTAGGAAATACAGTGTCATTGAGGAGTGATCTGGCTGAGGTCTGGGGGCTAAGAGGACCTGCTACCTACCAGCTGCCCAGAAACAGGGGGAGAAGCTGGGAAGCTCTCCTGCCTTATCTATCTAATGGGCACCACCAGGGGTCAGGATGGGGCCAGTGATACTGCGGGTGGGAGAGGGTAAGAATGGCCAGCAGCCAGACACTGCATTTCCTCTGTTTGGCCATTGCTGGCTAGATGCACAGCTCCTCTCTGCTCATAGATCATGATTCCAGAGTGTTCTGCAAGGCTGTCCTTCTCTGTCTGTTTGTTCCTGCTCTCACAGGTTGCTGAAAAGAGCCAGGCTGTCAGAAACTACACTGGATTTATGAGAATTTGGTTTCTTTCTCTTCTTCTCCTCCTTTTTATTTTAAAATTTATTTTTAATTAGTACATGTTTGGAGTGTACAATGATTACACTAATCATGAGGAGTTCATACATGTACATAACACACCTTAATTCTTTTTATATTCCTTTTTTTTCTCTTTCCTCCTCCTCCTCCCATTGGCTTTTGTTTTTTCTCTATAATATGTTTCATTGGGACTGGGTTCACTAAGGAGCAGAAATTTTGATCTGTGAGCTGAGAAACACAAGGATAAGGTTTTAGGTATTGTGAATCTGAAATTGAGTAAATGGAGCACACATATCCTTTTTCTGTCTCTGGAGAGAGAATAATAGTTTTTGTGAGGTTCATGCCCCCACCCAAAGTCTAGTTCTTCTCTTCCCTAAGCCCTATACTTCCTATGGTGGCTGAGCAGATGGCAGTTATTTGGAAACAGGAGTGTTCTTGGGAGTCAGGCTGAGGGGTTGGACCATTTTCATTATCCACTGAGCACAGAGAAGACCCTGAATTTTCCCTGGAGTGGGATGGAGTGGTAATGGGGAGGCGCACAGTATTCTAATAGCTACCTGGACACTCTGGCTCGCACTGAGGTGTGCATTTTTGTACACTTTAAATGACTAGTGCAGGAAGTGAGGAATCAGGGAAGGGAGGCTGACCCCTGGCCAGTGGTCTTGAATCCATACTTCTGAGCCCTGGGTGATGGCATGGATAATGTGGCAGCAACCAGCCAGGTTACTTGTTATTGGGGCACTGCTTTAAATTTAATTTTAGGACAATTTGCTCTACGCCTTAAACCCTGTTCAGATGTGGGTGGGATGTGGGCTTAGGACCCGTGAGAGTCACAGAGCAGTGCAGGCTTTCTCTGAAACAGATAGAGGATCTGGGGACCTGGAGAGGCTGAGGATCAAGACCAGGGTCCAACATGATAGATCTGAAGGAAAATCCCTGAGCATTCATAAATCCCATACTAGTGATTCACTTTATCTCATAATAATGATTTCATTTGCGCATAAAGATAAACTGAAGATACAGCAAATTGTGATCATTACCCAAACCCCTGCTTGGCAGCTGCATGAGGAGAAGGAGGCAGTCAGAAGAGGCCTGGTAACTGAACTACAATTAGATATGTGTGAATACAGGAAATCCAGCTCTTTCATTCTGAGGCTTCTTCTGGATGTGTAGTTCACCCATCTTATTTCCCAGGGTGGAATTTCACTTCTT